AAAAAAAAAAAAAAAAAAAAAAGCACTTAGAAAGAACTGCCTGATCTCTACTGAGCATACACAGACATTTTGTTGTCAGTACCGAAACAATACAGTGTAACAACTACCTGCAAGTGCCGCCTCTGTTTAGGCACAGGCATCGTCTGCAGTATACTTGCAAGTGCACAGGTTCTATGCAAATCCTATGCCAGGTAAACCAGGAACCGAGCTCCTGCGTCCTGTTATGCCAAGTAGCCCCCTTCCAGTGAGATAGCACCCTGTGTGGTTTGGCGGGGTTTTAACCCGCTGCCAATATCTCAGCGAGCTTCTCTGCTCTTGACATACGAATTTTCCTGGCCAGGCTGCTCAGCCGATGGCAGGCAGCTGAGCTGACAAACGGAGCCAGGGCCCCTGCTGTCTCCCTTTACCTCGCTAACATGATGCTGGCGTTGGGGTTGCTGGTGGCGGGCCCTGTGGGGCTCCACTTGATGGTGTATATCTCTTTGCTGTGAGCTTGAAGGTCATGCACGCACGAGTCCTGCTTCATACTCCAGATCTAGAGGAGACATCAGGGATGAATAAGCAACCTGCCCCCCTGCGAGACGCCCACCAGCCCGCAGGTGTCAGCGGGCCAGTTGGCCGCTGGCTGCCCAAGAGGGGCTCACCTTCAATGTCATGTCATCAGAGCAAGATGCTAGCAACATTCCAGAAGGATCCCATTTGATGGCATTGACCTCATTCTGCAAGAGAGCAGAGTTGTAAGTAGAAAGAGAACCAAAGGCTGAGGTGCTATGGCAGCCAGCGCCCGCCAGGGGGCGGTCGCGCTCTATCAGCAACGCGAACAGCTTCCACGATTTAACCTAGATTTCAAAGAAAACAACATACAAACCCGTATTTTTTCTTCTCACTTTGTCTTTTCATTTATATAAAAAGCACAGCGTCTGCCACACATACATAAATAACCAGCCATGCTCATCTGTATTTCTTTAAGGATAAAAGACTATGAGGGAGGAAGCTGAACAAAGAATTCACATACAAGCACAGCAAGTTAAAAGTAATAAAGCCAGTCATCAGACTTCGATGGCAACGATTCCGTGCACTTCAACATAAGTTACCCCTCTGTCTAAATCCAATTGTGCACGTGTCTTTTGGTGGAAGGGGAAGTAAACACAGAGAAATGGCAAAGATGGTGCAGTCTTAGGGGCGGGATGGGACCACTGCTGGGAAAGCAGAGGAACAAAACCTTCAGCTAGGGACGGGAGGACACCCGGTCCCGAGACACCAGGCTGCAGGCGAGTCCTTTACAAATGCAGCCCCTTCTCCCTTACCCACGGCACCACGGCTGTGGACCGACCGGGGTGCCTGCACCTCCTTGCCTGTGTCCTCCCGTCCCTGGCTGAAAACGAATTGTGCGTGTGAAATGATTTCCTAGGCCAACACAGCAGGCATAATGTAGTGGGGCTGTCCGGGCAGCGGGGCTCTCAGTCGCCCCCTAGGAAGCCCTTGCTGGACACACGGACACGCACGCGTGCCCTCTCGGGTCACCTCACCTGCCGTGTTGGCCTAAGAAATCATTTCACACGCACAATTCGTTTTCTGAGGAACGTGGTGGCGTCCCCTGGTGCTCTGGTGTGGATGACAAAATAGCTGGTCAGGTTCCCTTCTAGGGACACCGAGGCTGGGAGGGTGTGCGACGCAGAGGTGACCAGGTCGCACCTGTGTTTCACATGGCACAGCCGGCTGGGAAAAGGGAAGAGGCACTGGCCCTGCTCTGGAAGGCTGCCATGGGGGCCAGAAGCTCTGCAGGCAGAGGAATCTGTCGGTCACCTAACTGGTGCCATGGCCGCTCTTTGTCGCTTAGCCTCCTCTGCCCTATGGTCACTCCCCTCCCGCACTGGCAATCACCTCAAGGCTGAGAGTGAGGCACCCAACAGGAAGCGGGCATGGGTGGGTCTGCCAGACTTCTGCCCCGGGCCTTGGAAGATGGCGAGGGACCGAGGTTGCTGCTGAAGGTGGGGGGCATTTCAGACAGGGCTGGGAGGGAAGGTGTGAGGTGCTCAATGGGGTTTGTGGTTTCTCAGGATGGACCCGTCACGCTGTACGGAAGCTGACATGTCAACTGCCGATCACACTACTGCTCCCCAATGGTGCTTTTACGATTTTTAACTTCAATTCTGGTGTCTGGTGACCACACACCTAGGGCTAAAAGTGTGGTTCTCTTTATAGTCCTGCTGCTTGGGGACTTGCTGAGCATCTTGGATTGAGTGGTGATGCCACGTAGGAAAGCCTGGCCGTGAGTGCATCAGATATATTTTTTGTTCGATTATCCCCTTTCTTTTCCTGTTCCACAGATGCAGAGAACACGATACTGCCCCACAGGTTGTGAAACCGCCGTTCATTTTTTGCAGTTGTTCATGTTGTCTGTCTGAATTGGTCAATTTCTGCCATCTTTCTTTAGGTGCACTAACTTTACTTCTGCAGTCTCCAACCTGCTGTTAAACTCATCCAGTAGGATTTTCATTCCAGACCGTAGCCATGTCAGTTCTCAAGTCTCCCTTTGTTTTGTAAAAACACAGATTTCCATTCTCTGTGGACACATTCCATCTGTTCATTTATTACGAGCACCTTTTCCTTCATGTCTTCACACATTCTCATAGCTGCTTTAAAGTCTGCTACAAAACCCAGCGCCTGGCTCACGCCAGGGTCTGCTTTTCTCATTTGCTACCCACAGCTGGGCTGATGCAACCTCCTGGGGCAGCAACAACAGTCGTAGCAGCTAAAGGCTGAAGAGTAACAGGTCTGCCTTCACGTCTTTCAATTCTAGGTATAAAAGAAATAGCCCACACATCACACACACACACACACACACACACACACACACACACACACACACACACACACACACACACTTACACACACACTTGTGTCCAGTCGTCAGGATAGCCGCTTACCGTGTGTCCTTGGAAGGTTTTGACTGGGCGGTCGCAGCCGAGTCTGCACACGTGAATACACATGTCCGTGCTACAGGAGGCGAAGGTGGTGTTGTTCTGCCAGTCCACATCAAGAGCCGGGGCTGCAGGCGGGGCAGAGGGAGGACCTTCATACTCTGACCGTGCACAGCTTGGGTGCACAGCCAAGAAGCCTCATCGAGCGTGAATACAGGCTCTTTCCTCCAAAGACCTGAAGCATGCTCCTTCTAGTCTGCAGGGACAACAATCTGCCCCTGGAAAGAGGACCTGGGTGGGGCCGCAGGTCTGGCTCCCACTCTACAGGTGAGAAACAGGGGTAACAAGCAGGGGGCTGCCCGCCCATGCCCCTTGGGTGACTGGGTTTATTTTTAGACCGGGTGGAACCAAAAGGAGAGGGAGAAGACTGCACAGTCTACGTTCAGGATACTTCGGTTAAACGAATCCGCCACACTCTAAGGCATCCCATTGCTTGGCGGGTAACTGGTCGCCCAAGAATCCCCTGGGACGCCACGGCAGGTGTACAGCTCAGGACGGGGCACAGCCTCCTCCTCCTCCTCCCTCGCTCCTGGGGCTCCTTTCCCTATCACCAGCCACCTCCTCGTGCCAGTTCTCGAGCCCGGGCCCTCTCCGGACACTTGCCCACTTCCTGTGTCCGAGTGTGGCTCTTTATCGTGACAGGAAAGACAGAAGCAACAAGCACAGCAGCTGGGCAAAGCTCTCAGGTCCCTGAGCCCCTGCCTGCTCATGGTTCTCAGGCTTGACCTTCTGGCTTCTTTTCTGGACATTTACCACCATCCCACTGTGCCACGGCGGGCCAGGCAGACAGCCAGGGAGCCAGCCAGCAACCTAGCTCTGTCTCTCTGGAGGCCTGGGCTCCCGAAAGGTGCAGAGTTGAGGAGTAAAAGCAAGGGGTTGGGGAGAGGGGAGCCGGTCGTAACAGTGCACAACTGCTATCGTAGTTACTCAGGAGACGGAGGCAGGAGGAGCAGAAATTCACGGCCACTCTGGACAAGTCAGCAAGATCTTTTCTCAAAATAAAAAGGGGGCAGGGCGTGCACCTCCGTTATGCAACACCTACAAACACCGAGTTAGTGAGTACGGATGCAGGGGTTCTTAGGAAGTAGGACAGCCGATTTCTGAAGGCGGCCAGCCGCAATATTCTCATCAGCCCATCAGTGCAAAACTTCATCTTCTGTGAGGTTCTTTTTTCCTTTCTTTCAGTGGTGCCGGGGACTGAACTCAGGGCTTCATGAACTCTAGGCAAGTTCTGTACCACTGAGTTACACCCCCAGCCTGTTTAGTTTTTTTTCACTTCGCGACAGAGTCTCCCTAAGTTGCCCAGACTGGCTTGGAAGTTGTGATACCTCTGCCTCAGCTTTCCAAGTAGCTGGGATGCATTTCAGAAAGGCAAGGGAGCACAGCTCTCTCTGGCCACGAATGCCACAGACTGCCTCTGTCTTCCCCGTCTTTAACCCCCGTAAGATGTCTTCAGCCTTGGCTGGGACCCTGTAAGTGCCTTGCCCAGCCCCTGCCTGGGGGAAAACACAGTGCGGGCCCGCAGGATTTTGGAACATTCCAGGATTTCTCTGTCCTACCATTCCCAGAGACACGGTTCGTGACTGGCTCAGGGCTCCTGACCTTAGCCCCCACCTTGTCCACCACACTGGCCCGGGTAGATAACCACTTCCGGGGTCACCCTATGCCCCCCCACGGCAATAGCAACCTCACCTGAATGGAACGGAAACTGCTGCTTGGCTTCTCCTGTGTGGGCGTCCCAAATGATCGTCGTCTGTTCGGTAGACAGAGGGAAAAGTTAGTAGCTGCTCTCACAGAGACTCCCCCAGAAAATCGTACAGTGTGCGAAACGAAAGCTCGATTTCCTGCCAGATCAGCACAGTCCAACAGAGGTGTGTGAGCCGTGAGGCATTTTCAATTAAACGTGACAAAGAAACTAGTGAAGTTAACTTGAAGAATGTATTTTACCCGGATACGGCCAAAATATTGTTGCTTCAACGTGTCATCGGAATGAAAGCATAAACAAGATGTGTGACATTCCCTGCTATCTACCCTAGGTGTCGCAAGTGTGGTGTGTATTTTACCCTTCACTGAGCCACCCTGAATGAGCTCGTCCGGCTAACTTGTACTGGAGGTGCCACGTGGGACAGGGCAGGCTTTGGCAACACTGGGCAAAGCTGCCAAAATCAGCGGGGAGCTTCTCCTAGAAACCATAAGAAAACCGCCAACGAAGCCCGTCTGTTTGTCTTTTAGGCACTTTTGCCAAGGAAGAGCTGCAGAAATGGGCATTTCTGAGAATCCCTCCGTCACTCCATGAATACCCCTAATTCAAAAACCTGAAACCCAGAACGCTTTTGAGAACTGCCATGATGCCGGAAGAGTCTTGGACTCTGGAGCTTTTCTTCTCTTTTCTGGACCTCAGGATGGAAGCCAGGGCCTCGTGTAGGCTGGGTGAGCTTCTCAGCCCCATTCCCGGGCCTGGAGCGTTTCTGACCTGGTATTTTCAGATCAGAGGTGCTAAGCTGGTGAAGTCTGCGCATATCCCCAGATGGGGAAAACTACCAAATCTCAGTCCTAGATATTGCGACTACAGTGATGCTCAGCCTGTATTAGAGCAGAGGACTGGACTGCTGTGGGTCAGGCACCAAACTGGGGGAAGAGGAGACTCTCACCTTGGAAATCAAAGGCAACCATGGGTCCCTAGGACCTTTAGAACACTAGAGAGACACTCCCAGATGAATCCTCCCGGAATGAAGTCTTCGTCATTAGGGATTTCTGACTCAATTGGAAACCTCTTTGCCAAGGACAGTATTAAGATTTTGCTGTAAGAAGATGTAGCTCACTTTGTGTTGACAGTAGATGTGTTTGGAGGAAACACTCAGAACGGCAAGCGAAACTGGGTAGTTCTACGTTTTGGGTCAGTTCTACACTAACTGACATTTGGGGTTTCTTAGCGGGGCCTTAACTCTTGTTAATCTAGCCATGCACAGGCAAATCCGGCAGTGCAGAGAATATATAAACTTGTAATCCTCCGACACAACATCAGTAATGAGACCGTTCGTTATTTGTGTTTACTTTGCCCCAGACAAAAGAAAACGTTAACTATCCAAAAGCTCTAAAAGACCGTGAAGTAGCTTTCAGCCGCCCTGTGTTAAGCACCCCTGTGTTAAGGTCATCCGATGAACCGCATTTTCTCCCGGGAGGGTATATCCTGTCGAGATCATTCCTAGGATCAGCACTGCCAGGCCTGACGGAGTCACCATGGCGGATGGCGCGGGCCCAAAGGCTAACGGGATTCCACGGATGCCTTTTCGGTGACCTGGGACAGTCAGAGTTGATCACCAGGAGGAAAGCTACAAGCCAAAGGCAGGAAGGAGGCCAGGGAGCAGGGAACTGCTTAGAATTCCAGGAAAGCCTCGGGCAGTAGTCAGCGGTGACCCAGGCCCCACCCCTCTACGGCACCCACGTGTCCCTCGACCTGGAGCACCAGACCTCTCCGGGCTCCAGCTCCTCCTCTATAAAACGGGATGGATCTTCTTAGTGCCTGCTTCCCACCCTGGGAGCACCGAGGGGCTCACAGACACAGGAGTAAAGTGGCTGGTAAGTGCCAGCTATCATTTCCTGGAATTCCTTTAATTAATTCAGCCAGCAGTTCCTGATGGCTGACTGCATATGCGACCAAGTGTCCTATGTCGGTGCCACTCTAATTAGAATGCCCCAGGGAAATCTGGTGGCAATGCTAATCACGGCCACTCAGCTGCCTTCATATTATGTCAGGCTGCCAAGTTGCATGGTGGGGGCAGAGACAGAGGAGTGACTCACTGACTCAGACCAGTGGTGGCGAACCTATGGCACGTGTGCTGCAGCAGGCTGTTCGTTATCACTGAAAGCTCTAAAAGGTTCGCCATCACTGACCCAGACCATCACACGCTGGTGGAGGGATTGGCAAATTCTATCTCTCTCACAGCTGCTTAACTCTGCCCTTATAATGTGAAAGCAGTCTTGGAGAAGTCTCAACAAATGGGTGAGGCTGTGTACCAATAAAACTCCATTTACAAATAAAGGCAACAGGCCAGATTATTTGGCCTGCGTGGGCCACAGTCTGCCAAAAACGACTATGACATGCCTAAGATTGTGATGATGTTGATGGGTCAGATAAAAGTCTGTTATACTAGGTTTTAGAACTTGAATGAACAGAAAGCTAGTAAGGTTTTAAAATTATACAGAAATCCTTCTAGAAGTTATAGCTCTGTGGGAGACGCAAGCAATGTACAGTATTCATTGCCTGATACTACTTTCCTTCCACAGCCACGTTTTATGGTTTGGGTAAACAATATGCCCTCAAAGGCTCACGTGTTCAGAGGTCGAGCGTCTGGAAGGCGATGGGACTGTGGGATGCTCACCGCACCCATCCACGAACAAACCAATGAGTCAGCCCAGTAGGAGGACTCAGGTCACTGGAGGCGCGTGCTGGAAGGGTGCATCTTGTCCTTGCCCTCCTCTGGGGCTCTTTCACTTTCTCCCTGCTTCCTCTGAACTATAGCTTTCCTCCACCTCGCCCTTTGCCTGTGATGTTTCTGCCTTGGAGCCAGCCAACCAGGGACGGAGACCTCTGAAACCGTAAGCCAAACTAAACCTTCCCTCCTTTTCAACGTTTTCGGTCACAGCTCTGAAAAGCTGACTAGCGGCCACGACTAACAATTCCTCCCGGGTCCTCGGTCTGAGGGTCAGGACTCCAGGAAGCCTATCACCTGACTGATAACTGAGGAGACAGGCCCAGTGGACAAGATGACTGGCTGCGTCACACTCGGACCAGTCTCCCGACTTTCGGTCCCCCACGCCCTCCAGATGATCCTGGATTAAGGCCATCGGGTTTACCTGGCAGCACTGCCTAGGCACAAAGCGAGGGATTCTCAAGGGGCTCCGGGAGCCATCAGGAGTCTGCCCTGGTACCTGGGTCTCAGGAAGTCTGTTGTCTACAGAGGAGGCAGCGGTTTATAAAGAAACCGCAGAACAGAGAGGAAAGCGGAAAAGGCGGGCAATGAGAAACAATGTTCGCTACTGAAATGGCCGGGGGTGAAAGGCGGCCGAGTGTGCCCCACCCCAGTTTCTTCTTCCACACTAAGGTGTGCAACGTGGAGATCTTCCTCTTTCCATGAAAGATGCACCGTAAAAAGAAGGGGAAGCCTTGCACAAAGTCTATAGCGACAATGCACCGTGACACGCTTTGTTATAAATTAAAGGGAAGAGCAAGACCTTAAGAGCAAACCGAGCCAAACAAACACTTCTGATATTTTCAGGGGAAGCAGAAAGCCCAAGAATTCAAAGACATCATGAGACTAAAGATAAATAAGCAGCCACAGATCAAAGCGAAGTATTTTAAGCTATTACTCACTTTGTCTACACCAGCACTCAAAATATAATTTCCCTTTTTGTTCCACTTCAAGGCAAAGATAGGTCCTTTATGCTGGCCTAAGGTGCTGGCCAAGTTACCTGGGAGATAGAAACAAACACGTTGACACTTCAGAGTCACTGGCTTGCGGCAAGCAGAAGCACCTCTCCTCCGACCCGGCATCGGGAGGCAGGACTTACCATCTTCCGTCCATATTCGTGCAAAGCCGTCATAGGATCCTGTAGCCAGTAGGGTCCCATCGCTCTGGGGGCCACAAGGACACACAAAGCACTTCTTCAGAATCTCCCCAGAGGAAGTGCCCCGAGGAGCCCACCTTCCCACTGCCGGGCACCCCAACGGCCCCCAAGGAAAGGGGTGGCTCCCCAGCACCCGGCCTGCAGTCTGCCTACGTGGGCTCCTCACACAAGGGCTTGGAAACGGGTCCCTGGACCCAAGTGGTGGGTGGCAGGTGACACTCAGGGACCATCTGCATATAGATAATCCAGCGTTGGGGAAGGTACGTTCATTTGCATCCCTGGCCCCTTTAGCATTTTGAGATAGGGTTTTGCTAAACCGCCCAGGCTGGGCTCCAGCTTTCAATCCTCCTGCCTCATCCTCCCCGAGCAGCTGGGATTACAAGCGTTCCCCCTTCCCGCCCTCAGGTCGGTCTGTCTCTGCGTCTGTGCGGCGCCACATTGGCTGGCGGAAGCGACTTACGTTCCAGTCCAGCGAGGTGACGTCCTTGTTGCTCGGGACGTCGTGGCCGCCTTCGCGGATGCAGTGCCTCAGCACGAGCTGCGTGGGGCCCCCGCTGCTGTTCTCGTTGAGATTCCAGATCCTGGCGGTGGAGTCGCCCGAGCTGCGGGAGGAAACACAGCGGTGTCGGTGCTGGCGGAGCACAGTGGCCCTTCCTCTCCGTGGCACGACACCGACACCGCAGCGTGGGGCTTGCCCGCGCGCGCGCCCTGCCACC